TAAAAGTAGATTTGGAATCTGCCTTCACTCAAATGACTGTTCTATGAAAGCCTTTTAGGAAACAATACCAAATCTTTAGGCAGGAACATGGCTTTGTTGGTGATAACAAATTATAAGGAATTGGCTCATGCAGTTATGGAGGTATTCCTTGTTGTGGCTCTTAGTAGTCTGCCTGGTCTCTTTCCTTCACTATCCTCTCTCTCCAGTAAGGTTCCCAGGACAAGCTATAGCACTGCTACCAAAGCTGATCCTGACTAACACAGGGTGAGGAGAGCTTTGGTGTCCCAGGCCTTGCCCATTACTATTTCTCTCCTGAGTCTTTGACCTCTGAACAGTTGAAGAGACCGGAGAAAAGGGACTTCAATCAATATATATTATATTTCTTTATGTACATATAAATACATTGAAAATGGTAGGAAGAATACACCAAACTGGTAACATGGGTAATTTCTGTGTAGGGAAATAGGAAGGTCGGGGGTGGGGAGTGACAAGGGGTACTTTTACTTATCTGTATTTTAAAATATTTTACATTGAAAATATATTCATGTATTGAGTCCAGACCTTAAGAAGCTTATAGACTTGTAGATATGATAAAAATGAACTTTTTTTTCTTAAAAAGTAAAAACTTTTTGAAATAAGTGTGGCAATATGTTCCTAACAGTTAAAACTGAGGGATGGGTATATGGGTTTTATCTGCAAATTCCTTCAGCTTTTGTGTATGTTTCTAACAAAAAATATTTTTATTATAAAAGCTATATATGCTCATTGTAAAAAATACAATTCATTAAGCACATGACATCACCATTTACCCTAATCACTATTAACATTTTGATATATAGCCTTCTAGAACCACTTACCAGATAACCAAAAGCGTACAAATGTGTTTCTTTTAAGACAAAAAAAATGAGATCATACTATACACATTCTGCTGGTTTTGACTGATTAACATTCCACTTTATGGGTATACCATTATTTGTTAATTAATACTTGAACTCATTTAAAGTTCTTTACTATTAACATAGCACTGCAAATAATAACCTTGTATGAATACGTTGTACAGTTGTGTGAATATTTCTAAGGGTTAGAGTCTCAGCAGTGAAATAAACTAAGTAAGAGGGTATAAACACTTTAACCATTTGCAGCAACATGGATGGACCTAGAGATTATCATACTAAGTGAAGTCAGTCAGAAAGAGAAAGACAAGGAGGGAGATTAGAGTACATGCCTAGCATGTATGAGGTCCTGGGTTCAATCCCCAGTACCGCCATTAAAAAACAAAAACCTAATTACTTCCCCCTCCAAAAAAATAAAGAAAAAAAAAAAGACAAATACCATACAATATCACTTATATGTGGAATCTAGAATAATGACACAAACGAACTTATTTACAAAACAGAAACAGAATCACAGACACAGAAAACAAACTTATGCTTACCAAAGGGTAAAGGGATGGGGTGGGACAAATTAGGAGTTTGGGATTAGCAGATACAAACTATTATATATAAAATAGATAAAACACAAGGTCTTACTGTATAGCACAGGGAACTATATTCAAGAGCTTGTAATAACCTATAATGAAAAAGAATATATATATATGACTACTGAATTACTATGCTGCACACCAGAAACTAACACAGCATTGTAAATCCAACTATACTTCAAATTCTTAAAAAATCACCGTAATTTTTTTGTTAGAAAAAGACACTTGTATTGCCATTAACAAGAGATTGCCCTGTATTATTTAAATATTAAAAGTGCTGTGAAATGGGTGGGTGCTATGGAGTTCAAAAGAGATCTTAAATATCACAAAGAATCTGACCTTGATGCAGCAGCCAGTGGTTCTCATCTCTATAAAAAGCCTAATAATTTTTTTTCCCTTGCGAAGGCATTTAAGGGCATACATTTCCTGACACTACTTTGGGCTGTGTCCTGCAGTTTTGTATGAAATATTGTTTTATTGCTTTAAAGAAAGTTAAAAAATTATTTCACTTTTGGTTTTTCTCTTTGAGGGTTGCCTAGGAATATTTTATTTCCAAGTAGTTGAGACTGTCATCATTTATTTATAGTTTTACTGGATGTGATCAGAAAATGCAATCTGTAAAATTTGTGCAATCTGTAAAATTCCTACTTTTAAATTTGTTAAAACAATTTTTTGGAGTAGTCAAATACAGGGTTTATAAGTGTTCTATGGATAATCACAGAAAATTATCTATTCTGTATTTATTATATATACATGATTTGCTTTACTCCAAGTAGGCTGATATAAATGTTAGTTACATCTAAAACATACTTCACAGCAACATCCAGACTGATGTTTGACAAACAACTTGGCACCACAGCCTAGCCAAGTTGAAACAAAATTAACCATCATCTCAACACCACAGCAAAAGATGACCAAGTGTGAATGGATTATTTCTAAACCACCTACTTTATGTAACGGATATTTGTTAACACGCCCTTTACTATCCTTAAGTGCAACTAATAGATATTTAACTTACCTAATACATACATAATTTTTAAAAATCAGCATAATGCCCTAACAGTAATATAAAGAATTTTTTAAAAAGAATTTATAATGAAATTATATCCCATATATAGCACTATAGTAGCACTCAGTCCTTGTACTTCTGTGTATTCACCATGAATACAATGGCTGCAAATGCAGACTGATACAACTGTGCGGTGTCAGAGACTCAAATACCAGGAAACAGGCTCTGCCATCAATGCCATGGTTTTTTGAAATGGTGAACAGAAGTTCTAAATAAAACAAAACCAATATACAATCTTCCCTCCACTCATACAGATGCATGCCTAAAGAATTCAAAGTACACTAAAACTGCAAAAACTACTGTGTTTATAGGTAAGAGTGAAGTTACAGGCTCAGCTAATTATAAATTGTTTTTGCACTTACTTGAATATTTGTGGGGACATTTGATAGTTGTGCAGGACTTGGGACAATCTGTTGTGCAAGACTATCCTAGGCATTGCAAGAAGTCTAGCATCCTTGGCCTTCACCTACCAAATGCTAGAGATGCTTCTCAATCATTGTGACAATCAAAATACTTTCACCTCTGCTGTGTATTGGAGGGGGTGCCACTTCTGCTGAGAACCACTATAAAAATAACAGGAGGCCACCAAAAGTACTTTTTCTTCCCTCAACTTATTCTTTGAGAAATTGAAAGAAAAAAAAAGAAAAAAAAAAAGAAATGCTACATGCTCTCATATTTCCAATACTTAGAATTAATACCTCTAAATTTTGCCTTACTTCAAAATCTTATTTGTAAAAGAAATAAAAAACCCTCCCCCACAAAAATTTTTTTAAAAATATACTATACTCCTGGCTTAATTATCTCATTTAATCTCAAATCAATCTTTTACATTTGGAACTATCATTTTTTTATCCTCACTTGACAGAGGTAAACAGAGGAGCTATAAGTAACTGGCCTACTGCAATAGAGCTATAATGGTGGAGCCAGGATACCAACACTGAACACTTAACTACTTTCTGTATTGCTAAAACCACTGAGTGCCTACAATAATCTAGGGGGAACATACAGAATAAGAAAGCAGGCCAAGAACAAAACTTTGAAGTACATCAGTGGGCAGAGAAATCTGCAAAGGAAATCAAAAGAAAAAGTTAAAGCGGTAGAAGGAACAAGATAGTGGTCAAAGTAGAGCTTCAGTGCAGCACAGAAACAGAAGAGGACTGAAATCAGAGTGGGTGCAGCACAGTAAAAGCGATGTGAACCACGAGTTTCAATGGAGTAGTGGAGGTAGGAGGGAAGTGACATCATGAAAGACTTCTTAAATAATCTTGAGTAGTTTGTTTTGGTAGGGAGTGGGAAGACTTAAGCAAGTTTATATACTAAGAAGAGGGTGAGTTAGAGAGATAACTAATCGAACAAGGTCTGGAGTTCAGAAGGGTAAGGAAGGAGGCAGGGGAGTTGTTCAGGGGATCAGCTAAGGGCTTAGGCTGGACAGGGAAACACTTTTGGCAAAGGAGCTGACAGATTGGAGACAGACAGAAGGAATCCAAAGATTCAAAGTCTCCAGTTCTAGGACAGAGTGAAAATGATAATATATGAAAGCTCCTCAAAAAGGACTGAATTTACACTGTTTGGAAGTGACACTAAGGAGCTGGGAGAATGACGATCCTACTGTACAGCCAGTTAGAAGGCAGAGAAGGCAGTGCAGTCCTTGGTTAACACACCAAGAGGAGGGGAGTAAAAGGGTTGAGAATACAGGAAAGCTGAATTTTTTTAACCATGGAAAAGGGCTTTCTGGTGACAAAGGTCAGAGCAGTGTGCACATAAGAACATGAGAGGACATGTGTCCAAGAGGGTTGACATTTTGGGGGATCACCAACAATGACGTGAACAAGGAAGCTTCAAAGCTCAAAATGAAATAATAGCAGAATATTTCTCTTTATAGTTGATTTTACCTTGAATACACCGTTTTCTTTCAAATTCTCTTCACAACTCTGCAGTAAGACCTGCAGGTAGATTTCCTGTGCAGTGGCACAATGAGAAACTGACCCTTATGCTATTAACACTACACCCATTGTGCTTAAGGAGATGGGCTGCATTGCTATAGGCTGCCCAACAGCCCTACAATTTTGAGAACTATTCCTCCTCCACTTCGTGCAATTTGGGTAGAGCTATTAAACAAGGGTCTCTTCCTTCCTTGAATCAGAGATGCAATGTGACCATGCTGGCCCAGTGTACCCCATTACTTGAACACAGTAATTGGTCCAGGAATGGTCATTGACCAAAAAAGAGCTTTGGTCTTTACAGTCTTTTCAGGGGATTTATATAGATGCTGGGATAGTCTTTCCTCTGAGATCATGAGAGTTGACATTCCTGCTCCCCAAAATGCATATACCTCACTTCACAGGTGCTAAGAACTCAACATATGGAAATCCAGTCTGACTAGAAAACGCAGTCAAGGCCCCACCTCTGTGGTCCATACTCTATTGAAGTAGATAAAAACACCAAGACACAGACATGGCAAAGTATTTAATGTCTGTAGGTGGGCCTCACCCTCCCAATCCTGTTGCGATTCGATAGCCTCTCCAAACTGGTAGTACCAGAGAAAACATGGGCACTTTTTCCCAGCAGAGTTCGAAAACCATTAAGGCCCGAGTTCTCTTGACTTTGAAGTGATTGCAGATGAGGTCTTTCCACAGCATGCCTCAGGCCTCTCTGCTCAAGGAAAAAAAGCCCCCCAGTTCTACAGGGCTCTTGAGGTCTTCTGTTCTTCTGCAGCCTGGCGCTGGGAGCTGCGCCGCTGGAAATAGTGGTAGGCTCGGACACTGCAGAGGTAGCCCCCATACACAGTGAGGAGCATCATGGAGGTGGAGAAGGTCTTGTAGCCAATGTCAGCTAGCTGCTTGGCAGTTGGCATGTTGTCCCCTACAAAGACAGACTGGATTTAGGCCCAAGGATAAGGCCTCATCTGCCCAGCCCACTTCCCTGGTTAAGGCCATTCTATAACTTCTGCATCCTGCTTAGTCTGTCTGTACTCTATTCTGAATGGCTCCTACACGTACGCAGAGTCTCATACTGAAAGATATTGTTTGAGAACTCTGAGATTCAAAAGGACAAATAAAGTCTGCTTACAAGATACAGAAACACACCTGGAACCAGGTACAGCTGAATCACATCACAGCTAACACCTGGTTCTCCAAGTTTATGGAAGTGACAGGTATGAACCACCTGGAAAAGTTTTTAATTGGTACATTACTTTAGGCACACGCCAGTTTTCTGGCTAGCAGGGAATTAATGAAGTAGCCAGGGATTAAAGATTAGAAGTGAATTATTCTCTCTAGGAAGATCAAATGAGAGCCTTCTAGGCAATATCCAATTCACTTCCCCTTAAAACAATCTTTTCACGGTGCTTAAGTTCCCAGGTTAGCCTTCAAGCATCTGTTTAAGTCATAATATACTTGAAATTGTGCCAACAGTATGTTTACATTATTCAATCAGACATAACTTTCTCCAGCATTAATTCTAAGTTCCAAACAACACCAAGAACCTATCCCAAGGGCTAAAAGAAACTTACGGAATCCCCAACAAATCGTTAACTCACATTTGCATGAGATAAATTACTTCTAATTGAATCATTCCCTGGATATTCTGAGCTAGGGAACAAGAAAGTTTTGAATGGGAATCTCTCATCTTGAACAAAACATTCCTCAATTTGGGACTATGACTATGTTCTTAAGCTCGTCTCTGCTGAGGGAATTAAAATCGAAAGACTGGGTTGGAGGGTATAGCTCAAGTGGTAGAGCTCATGCTTAGCATGCATGAGGTCCTGGGTTCAATCCCCAGTACCTCCATTAAAAAAATAATAATGGTAACTAAATAAAAATAAACCTAATTACCTCCCCCCACCCCCCAAAAAAAGTTTATTAAAAAATTTTAAAAATTAAATTAAAAGACTGAATAGGTTAAGAGTCAAGAATCTGAAAGAAGAAAAGCTCAAGATTAGCTGGGTTAGGGGGTCAGCAGCTGGGTGAGATATCTAAGTGCTTCTCAGACTGACTCCCACGGGCTGAACACTGCCTTTGAGCCAGTTCTTGAAGGTGGATCCCACGATGAGCTGACTCACAGCTTCCTTGAATTATAATTCCATGTGACTGTGGAAAGTGACATTAAATAATGTCAGAGGAAGAAAATCAAATGGCACAGGTTCAAGAAGAGAAAGGGTTATATTCAGGTTATCTGAGGTTTGACAGAACCCCAAGCTGTGAGACAGTAAGAAAACAGAGAGCAGAACACTAAGGTAATAAACAAGCTCCCTGCAAAGAGACCTGCAGCCTTCATCCTCCCTCTCACTTATTCTTTCTCTTGGCTAAGAGAGTGACAGAAGAACTACTGACAGATGTAATTTTGGTGTCGAGAACCTCACTTCCTTCTCTTGTCTCATCCAACCTGAGATTTCTCCTATTTTCAAAGTAATGAAAACTCTTCACAGACCCTGATCTAAGGCAGGGCAGTATAAAAGGAGAAGACAGATGCAGAAGTTATTCTGGAAATAGAACAAGGTTTATTAACTGAACGGGTTAGGGAAAAGCTGAAAATATCTCTAAGTTAACAAATTAGGAAACTTTATAGAGTGGGATACTGTTAATAGAAAAAGGAAAGAAGAAACAGGTGTGTGTCACCATGTGTGTATGGGGATGGTGGTGGCAGTGTCAGTCAAGATGATGAATAGAGTTTTGGACATGTTAAAGTTAAGATGCTCCATACAACATTCATGCGATGTATGTCAGGCAGATGGATATGCAAATGTGGGCAGATTTGGGAAAAGAGGCCAGGCTACAGCCACAGATGGGACTAACAAGTGACATCAAAGCAGAGGATAAAACCAAAGAGAGAGAAGCCAAGAGAACACCAGTTTGAAGGAAAACAATTAGGGAAAGAAAATTCCAGAAATACCTGGGAGGCTTTTTCATTTAACTACAATAGTGATTGAAAATCACTGCTGTATCAAGTCCCAGCCACTGACAAGAGATATGTTGTATCTTTCGGGTGTACTGGGCCAGAATGAAAGTTGGGAAACACTACTGCAAAGTTAAGTGCCATGAAGATTGGTCAGATGGGATCACTAGATGGGAATAGGTGACTAGGCTACAGATAAACCTAGGACAGAACTCAATTTAATGACTGAACTGGAACAGGCATTAAGTGAAAAACACAGATTCTGAGCCAGGGCCCCAGCAAGCCCATGTATCTATTCATTTTCCTGGGACGGAGAGAAAAATGGATCATAACCCACTCTCACTCCAAAGGTAAAAACTGATAGTCTTGTGATTTGCTGGTTAAAGAAATGGGAGTGATAGGGCAGCAACTTGAGAAGGGAACAAGAACAAGTAAATTCTAGTTTTGTTTTGCTTATTGATAAGGAGATTTCACTATATTTTAGAGGGGAAGACCCTGATGGCTCAAGCGAGGGAAGAAGTGAGGTGGGTAGGATGGAACAAGAAGATCCAGGATGGCCCAGGAAAAGATGAAATTAGAAGTCCAGGTAGCCCCTATCCATTAAATCACTGATGTCTCAAAAACAAACCAAAAGGAAGTCCAGGTGGAAGGATTAAACTTGGAAATTTAGAAAACTTTCGAGGTTAGCAGGAAAACATTCTCACCTGAGGGACATCCATTTTCTCAACAAAGCTCAATGCTGGGTCTGTTACCGGGTTAGACCAAAGCTTTCAAAAAAACGGGGGTAGGAGCAAGAACCATTACGGGAAATGCCATAGGGGTGCAATCTGCAAAAGTTATGTGGCTCTCCTCTTTTTCTGCTCCCTAAACATGAGAGGACCTCAAGACTCAGGTTTCTCCTCCGGAAAACTCATTTCCTCAAATGGGCCCATCCACTTCCGCTTAGATATTACTCATATTATTGATTCATCTATTTACTCGCGCTATGAAGGCCGCAAAGAGCATGGCTTCTATCTCAAAGGACCTTATGGTCTGCTAGGGATAAGCTTTGCATCCCAAATTCTGTTAGATGAAGTGGAAGACGGCGTGACCAGAAGAGAAGAGGCACTATGAGAGTTCAGAGACAAGGTGGGGGCTCAAGAAGTGTCAGCAGAAAAGCAGGAGGGTCGAGGTACAGCTGTCGTTTTAGAAGGGTGGACAGGATTTACACCAGCAGAGAAGAGGTAGGGGAGAGCATTCCAGGAATTGAAAGCAGCAAAGGAATGGAGCTAGATAATCGATAACCACGAAGAGTGCCCGGAAAGCCGGGGCGCAGCAGACTGCAAAGCGAGGACGGGTCAGAGCGTGGAGGGCCAAGACGCGCGGGTGGAATCAAGGTCTGACCGGAGGCCACGGCCGCAAGGAGCTTGTTGGGTCGGAAGCAGCGTAGACCGCTACTTGCGGTCCGCTGCGCAGAGTACACGGGGAACTCAAGGGCGCCGAAGTCCGAATACTAGGCATGAAAGGTTGCGATAAACAAAGGCCGGCCCGAGCCGGCGCGCCTCAGCCGACAGGCGGCCCCGGTTCGGGCCTGGCGGACGGCGTACCTGGATGCTGCCGCTCCCTTCCGTCCAGCCGAGGCCTCCAGTCAACACGACCTATTGGCGCAGGCGGAAGCAGTACCCAAGACCAGACAAGCGAGGGTAACGGCCCAGGAACAACCGTGAATGCGGAGGCGCTATTGGTGCGGAAAGTCTTCCTTTCTCCCTCCACCCTCCCCACTTACCCTCTAGGATTCGGCTCCCGAAGCGAGCAAAGTCCCAGCGCGTCAGACGCAGCGCAACCCAGCCCACTGAGGCGGGAGCCCGTGAGGGCCGCAGCTTCTGTTGGTTGCAGCCTTTGAACTTCCGGCTTCCGGGTCAGTCACCCCTATTACGCATCCTCAGATGAGCCTTCCTCTCAGAGAGGCCCGTTGAATTCTGGGGGTTGTAGTCATTCGTCATTGAGAAACGCTCTTTGGCTACCCAAGCTTTGGAAGCGGAAATTATAGGATACTCAGTCAAGACAGAAAAGACAGTCTTTCTTTCCAACCAGAGCCAACCAATCCCCAGCCTATGACACGGTGACGTCCCCGGTAGCTAGGTAAGTTCTCTCGGGAGTCAGGCCTCTGGAGGGGGCTGCGCGCCTCCTAGAGCTTAGAGCTGCCCTCTTCCCTGCGGTCCGGCTTCAGCCGAGCTCAGGTAGGAACCCGACCAGCACCGCAAAGGCCTGGACCGCAGAGGATGCGGCAGGTTTGGCCATTGTCACGGAGTGGGCACAAGGGTCGAATCTCCATAACGATTCTGTCCCGTATATGACCTCCACGCTTGGAGGCGGCGTGATAAAGCCCCAAAAAGCGCCAGGAAGGGGTTGGAGCGGATTGGGGGGGGGAGGGGTTGCCATTGGGGGTGGGAAACTGCGTGGGCACCCTAGCTAGGGGCCAAGAGTAGCTGGGATGATTAAGGAAGTACTTTTTTGCCCCCATTTTTCCTACAGTATAAGTGAAAACAATATACATCCCACGACACAGCACAGCTTACGCATTGCCACAGGCACTCAGCTCCCTTCCCCAACCTGTTTCTGGAGAAACCACGCTTTATTGGGTATACAAGTAGGCCTGTTAGAAGGCCTCCCATTCAGTTAGCTGTGGGGTAAACAAACGTAGGCAAAGATTTTTAACTATCTAAGAGGGTCGCAGCTGCAGCCTTGGGAAAGGAGCTGTCTTTCTGCCCCAAATTTGACCTCCTGGGGAGGCAGCTCAAGATCCAGTCAGTGTCAGAACCTGGGCCCAGCTAGATCTGGGGTGACTGTGCCCCTCACTCCCGCTGCCTGATCTAGACAGCTCTGGCCTTCACTGGTAAGACTTTTCAAGAGCTAGTGGCAGAGAGGAGCCTACCTCCCTGGTTTGTTGGGGAGTAAGGGAGGGTTAACGTAATGCCAGCCAGAGCCACAGTGTGCCAGGTGCTGCCACACAGGAAGCTGAGACCCTCTGTTGGACGTGACAGGAGCCCTCGGGCACTATTTATAGCCAGGGGCCCAAGCTGCTGACCTGTGACATTCCCCTGCTGCCATTCCATCCTGCAGCAAGGCCAGTGCAAAGGACACTCCTCTCCCTCCTCCCCTTCCTGTTCTACCCTCACCCCAGGAGTAGGGAGGTTTGAATTTTTTATCTCCTCCATGAGTTTCCCAGTTTCTGAGGTGCTGAAGCGTCAATGCCTCATGAGAAGGCCTTCAGGTGACAAAGGAGAGCTGGCCTTGGAATGTCAGGACCACCAACATGGGGACCTGCTCACCCTCCCTTACCCAGTCTCTGGCCCCCGGGCCTCCAGATACTGGAGCTGGTTAGCTGGGGGTAGCTGAGAACTAGGTACAGGGTTTGGGAGGAGGTAAAGGGTGGATCCAAGATGTCCTGGGGAGACAGCAGCAGGAGGGACCCAGCTAACACCTCCCCCACATTGGACCTGTGAACAGAGGCAGAGCAAATACGAAGGTCACAGGGAGCAGTGATCTGAGCCTGCTATGAAAAGGTGTAGCTCTGTCAGCAGATTAAGTTCCTGCTCCCCAAAGAGGGTGCTGGCGGGGAGGGTGAGAAAGGCTTGGAAAGGTCACACATGGTAGGGAGGAGCTGGCAAAGAACTAGGTACCAGGAAGTTCCAGGGGAGAAGGACAAGCCCCAAGGCTGAGATGCCAGCGTGGCAGCAACTCTGGTGCCAGGGCAGCCCAAGGGAGGGGGAAAGGGGATGACCAGAGGTTTCTGGGGACACAGATGTTGCTAGGAGAAACTAGAAGGGTTTTTTTTTGAAATCTTTGTATTTTGTTAACAAACACTGAGATCCATTGATGCTGTGTGGGGCCTGGCAGAGGTCAGAGCAAAGGGGTCCCTGGGCCTATGTCGCTCAAAATCCAGACCCCTACCTAACAACCCCTTAGCACATCCTTCTTGCAGCTGAGATACTTCTTTAGCCACTTAACTGGGCTTGGGGACAGGATTCCTGGTCTATGTGAGGCAGCAGTGGGCAGCCCTTGCCATGCCTCCCTCTCCCTCCCCACTCTCCCTACACACCCAAAGCAGGCAGCACAGGGGCTTGATCCCTTCCAGGGGACAGGGAGAATGCCCCACATCTGGAGAGGGACTAGGCAGCTCCATTTCTGGTGAGATGTGTTGGCAAGAGGCTGCAGGCTGATTGGTGCTTCAGGATCTCCAGGCAGGTAGTTGGGCCCAGAGCGTCCTGTCCTCCAGTGAAAAGCTGAGAAGAGGGTGCATCGTGGGGAGTCTCAGAGATCCTGGTGACCAGGCACCCCAAGCTTCTCCCTGTCTCCACTGGGGTAAAGAAGCTGCCTGGCCTGGGCCCCGGCCCCGCTCACAGATGTTCTGGATGATTCTGCAGGTAGCGGATGAATTCACCCACTGGCTGATTCTCATAGCATGTCTTGTACACAGCCGTGAACAGAGGGAACCTAGAACGGGGAAGGACAGACCCAGCTTGACCTCCAGGTACACCCCCAACCCCTTCCACTCCCCATCCACCCCTAACCCTCCACTTCCTACTCTCCCACCTTTGAGATCAGGCAGACTCTGGCTCCCAGTTTCCAACTGCTGAGAATTTGAACTTCCTATCCCTAGGTTTTAGGGTCAGGTTTTTAATTGCCCTGCTCTCTATCATATTGAACTTGCGTGCATGATTCACTGGCATGAATTTCTTGTTCCAGCTGAGCAAGCCACTTAACCTCTCTGAGCCTCAGTATCATCAACTTTAAAAGGAGCCAATAAAACAAAGCAGTGAAGAAGTGATTATTATGTGAAGGTGCTCAATAAATGCCGGTTTCCTTCTTTCCATCTTCTTGTCTGGGCTGCTCCCTTCACTAGGAGGGTTTACCCTGGTCAGCCGTGAGTTGATCTTCTGAACCTGTTTCATACTCTTATTCTACGATTCTTTCTCAGACTAACAGAGCTCTGCTCTGATCAGCCCGTCACCCCCACTGTCTTTGTGCTCTGAAAAGGAGCACCTTGAAGCAGAGACTGTCCCCACACCTCAGCACCCAGGACAGGATTCAGGGGACAGAAGGGTTGGCCTTGGAGAAGGGGCTTAGGCTGGGGGTGATGGACAGAGAAGCAGAACAGTCAGAAGAGCTTATTTCTGCTGCCCCAGAGCTCCAACCCCCAGAGCAGAGGACAAGGAGGAGATGACAGAAGGGAGGCCTTGCAGAGGGGTCCAAACAATGTGGTATAAAGAGCACTAGACTGGAAAGAGTTCAAAGACAATGAACTAGCTGAGGGACAGTGGGCATACCAGGCTCCCTCCAAGCTTTCGGCTCTGTCTGTAAACCTAAGGTAACATTTCCCTCTCTGCCCACTTCACAGATTGAGGAGGGTTCAGAAAGATGATGACCAGGGACAGCACTTCTGGCCATAGTTCCATCAGTGGGGCTGGGGCAGACACTTACTTGTCCACCAGGCCCTTTTGCTGGAGGATGCTGTGTAGCTCCCGGGCTGTCTGGGGCCCCTGCAGCTTCTGCCCATTCAGCATCTCTTTCTCTAGCTGCTCAATGGGCTGTGAAGAAAACAGGACGGGCAGATGGAAATGGGAGATGAGGGCTGTCAGTGTGGGTTGGAGAGTCTGGAGCTTGGGTAGGAGGTGGGGTCTTAAGAGGAAAGAAAGGCTAGAAATGTTCACAACAATCTTAATGTTTGTGCTCAAGAGACACCTCAAGCCAAGCTCCTCTGCCTTGACACTTACAGGGCCCACCCTCTGTTCTCCGTTTCCCCAGGGCCCACCTTTCCTGTTCGGGCGAAGGCCTCAGCCACCTTGCGGTTCCGCCCTCCGTAGCAGGTAGTGATGAGGTCAGCAACACCACAGCTCTCCAAGAAGGTGGCAGAGGACACAGGGCCGCTGCAGAAGAGCTTGGCGAAGGCGATCATCTCCATGAGCCCCAGTCGGATCACTGCTGCCTTGGTGTTGTCACCGAAGCCCAGCCCATCACAGAAGCCAGCCCCCACGGCCACTATGTTCTTTGGGGAGTGGAGTCACAGGTGAGAAAGGATCCCCTCCCAGAGGCCCCACTTGGAGCTCTCAGCACCTGCTTCATGCTCCATCCATCAGCCATGATATATGCACTGAATAAATGAAGCAAGCCGGAGGTGGCGCTCCTCAGCTGTATCCACCTCTTGGCTTTCCCGCTTGCTGTGCTCCCTTCCTTTACCCTGGGCTTGTGCTTCTTAGTTCCCCAACCCTGCCATGTACTCTGTCCTTGAATAAACCAATCTTCTGTTTAGCTGACCCTTACATCCATGACTATTCTGTTTTGCGTCTCTGATATCCATCCATAGCTCTGTCCAGGATCCAGCGTTCTGACCATCAGTCTAACCTGGTGTCCTGGACATCCTGTCTCCAATTAGCCTGGGTGCTCCCCCGAGGCATCTTCTCTTCCCCCTGGACCACCCCTTGGTGCCAGGGATTGGGATGTCCTACAAGGGGCTATAGGGGAAAGGAAGAAGGGGGCCCAATGTCTGGTGATAAGTAATCAGCAGGCCCGAGTGATCCTGGCCTTGCTTCTGCAGTTCTTCCCACTTGTATGGGACTTGGTGGGGAAGGGGAGCAACTGCCCAAGTGAAAGCGTGGTGTACCTTGTATAGCTAAGCCAGGCCTTCTTTCAGGACCTTCTCCCCACCCCATAACGGCCTCTGTACCCCTCTCACCTTTAAGGCTCCACAGATCTCTACTGTATCCACCTCTTGCACCACCGTGATGCGGAAGTTGAGTGTCTGCATCAGTTCTTTCAGAAGCTGTCCCTGGGCCAGGTCCTTGCACCCTGAAGTGGGGAGGGGGTAAAGCTTTAAGCAGGGGTGGGGTGATCTTGACTCTTAATCCCACACCTGCCCTAAGCAGGGCCTGCAGCTGTTTCCCTAGGGGTGCCCCAGCCCTCCCTCACCTCTGACGCTTGGGTCTCCTTCCTTTGCTTGCCTTGAGAACATAGCTAAGTGGGTGGGGACTAGAGCATGGTGAGGGAATGTAACTGAAGTTGCATTATGTATGTGGGTGCGGGGTGGGGTGTCTCACCAATGGTTGTCTCACAGAACTTGTCATCAGCCACCTCGCTGGCAATGTTGGCCCCCATCAGCACGCTCATGGGGATGCCAAGGCGCTCCCCAATCACTTCAGAGATGAGCTTCAGCCCGCGGGGGCCCTCGTCTACCCCCTGGGCACAGGATGGAACTTAGGCCAGGTGCCCTTTATCCCCAACTGACAGCTTCCCATCCAGAAATCCTGCCCCTTCCAAATCCACTGTTCATCAGTGTCCCCCAAAGGTCCTCCCCAATTCCAGCCTAGCCAAAGCTTGCTGTGAGGAAGGTAGGCAGCATGTGAAAACGAATCCATCTGAACACTCCTTCCACAACCTATTTCTCCAAGGCATCCCCCCTACATCCCTAAACAGCCCACTCCTGAATATCCCAAACCAACTCCCATCCCAGCCACTGCTCCAAACCAAATTCCCTTAACTCCTCAAACCAGTACGCTTCTCATATCCCTCAGGCACCCCTTTTACACCTTGTAAACTCCCCAAGATATCTGCTTCTAAACCGATCTCTTATCTACCCCAACGAACCTCCCCTTCCCGATGGCCCCCAGCGTGTTTCTGAAGCCTTCCCAAAGCCAACTCCTCCCTTCACTCCAGAAAACTCCTGCCCTACTTCTGCTGTTTCCTGTTTGTCTCACTTCAGCCACCTTGAGCCCCATAACAATTAGCTGCACCCCCATCCACACGATGGTGTCCCTGGCACCTTAATAAGGGATATGCCAATGGCATCTGCCTTCAGGTGGCCCTTGAGTTGATCACAGATCTTGCCAATGAATTGATGGGGCACTACGAAGATCAGGATGTCAGCATCTGCTGCAGCCTGGACCACATCTGGGACAGCCACCTGTGGGGATGACCAGTGCTCAAGGGCTTGACATACTTCATCTAGCCCCTGTGGAAGCCCATTCAGGAGATCTAGGAGCCAAAGAGTGAGGCTACTGGGGGAGAAGGAAGGGCAGTTTGGGGGCTGAATCTGGAAGGGCTGAACTTGGAGGAATAAGACACTCTATTCCCTCCCCCTAGCCATCCTTCCCTCTAAGTTCCAGCTGTCCTGGGCTCTTAAGGACTCCTGGAAACCTCCTCCCAGCACTCTCCTAGCTCTTGGCTGTGGGACAGTGAGAGAGGCCAAAGGAGGTCTGGGCTTGGCAGGAGGAACAGGCCAAGTGCGATTTCATCACCCTGCTCCTTACGGCCCCCAACTGGGAAGGGAGAGCCCCAGTTTTCCTATCTTCCCTGCTTCCTCTTTCCGGGTGGGGAGTAAACCACATGGATTTGACCAAAGATCTTAAGTCCAAGGAGCAGCCTCCACATTTGCTAATAACCCAGTGAATGAGTAACAGGGTTAGAGCCTGAGGCAGGCACAACCCGGACCCCAAGTCTGGGAGCCAGAGAACCTGTCTTTGGTTGCCATGGAGACCAACTTCCTCATCCTCTCCCCTCCTTTTCCTGCTTGGGAGCCCATGGGATCGGGTAGAGATGCAAAGGGATGCACTCAGGTTCTCCTTAGTCCCAGAAAGTGCCTGGGGAGCAGTTTGGGGACTGTGCACAGGGGTGCCCTGTGCCTGATGTAACCCTCCCGAGATGCTTCCCAAGTCCAGGTGGCACTTGAAATGGTCCCCTCCTGGCAGGAAGCTCCCCCTCCACTTCCCTCTCTCTTCCTTGCAGGGTGTTGGGGCTTACCACGTTGGCGGGCAGCTTGTGCCCTGGCAGGTACTTGACATTCTCATGCTGTGTGTTGATGATCTCTGTCAGCTTTCTGCCCCCAACGTCTTCCTCAAACACCCACATGGTCACCCGTGGGTCAAAGCCTGCCAGCTGGGCTGCATTGCCACCCACAATCTTGGCAATGGCTGAGCCCCTGGCAGGAGGAGGAGCACAGACAGAGGAGTGGGAGCGTGAGGGAGGAATGATGGTAAGGGAGGGGACAGTGCTCCACCTGAGGATATCACAGCAGCCACCAGATTTACCTGCCACCTTCCCTGTCACCCCCTCCTCTGTGACACTGTATCCCTAGTGACCCAGCAGTAGAAAGGAGACTCAGTCTACCTTACACTTTGCTGCTGGAGAAGGGGGCCAGCGTTCTGATCTCCCCACCGCCCCCAATCCCAAGCAGCTTTTCAGGCAGGGAACACTCTGGAGGCTCCCCTCCTGTGGCGAACAGGTGCAACTGCCCGAGAAGGCAAGGGCCAGGAGAGGTTTGGCAACCATCTGTCCTGTGGGGGTAGGCACAGAAGACAGCAACAGGGGTGGAGCAGGAATCGGGGGCATTTCCTACCCACTATCTAACTCCTGCCCACCAAGCCTCCCTCCTATCCTCCTGGATACTCAGGGGAACCTCCCCTCCCTCCACCCACAGCCCCTGACAGCGCTGCTTACCAGTTGCCAGAGCCTACAATGCAGACTTTCTTGCTGGCCATGGTGCCGCTTCTCGCTCCTCTGCCTGAACTGCCGGCTGGGTGCCACTCTCCCCAGCTCCTCTGCCAACTGGGAGCATATAACCCCGACACACGTGGGTGCAGCCAAGCCCCGCCCTCCAGGGGAGGGTGGGGAGGCGGGGACCCAGGGAGCCGGGGAGAGTCTGGCAGAGCCAGGGAAAGGGGATAAAAGAGTGGGGACAGGTGGGGAACAGGAATGAGGCAGACCAGGCCCGGTTTTCCTTTTAGGTTCCCTAACTGACAGTGCTGACGAGCTTCTTCCCTTGGCCCCAGCAATGGTCTCATTTTGAAGTCTGCCAAGAGCAAGCCCAGATAAGAAGCAGGTGGCTGGTCCTCTTCGTTCCTTTCTGTCCCCCAGCACTGGAACAAATTGTATTCAGTCCTAGCAGCAGATACAGGAAAGCTTTCTTTTTCAAATCGCCCTGCATATCCTCCCAGGACCCCCAAAACTGCTCTACAGGTTTGTCCTCTACAAGTGACAGGGAGCACCTGTGACTGGCCCCACACTAGCTCCACCGCAGTGCCATGGGTGAGTGAGGTGGGTGGGTGTGGGCCCACTCGACAAGATAAGACCACATAAGGGGTAACGGCCTCCTTTGGGGGCAATCCAACCCAAGGATAAGAGACTCCAGGAGCCTGAGAAACAAGGTCCTCTCAGGGACTCACCAGTGGGACTCTCCTCTCCTCAGAGGATCCCCACCTGAGTGTCTTCCAGGAAAGGAGGCTGGGAAAGGTCATTGTTAAGGGGCTCTGATGCCAAGTGGCCCCCAATTCTTTTGCAGACTCTGGGCTTAAGGATGAGGATAGGAGAGAAAAGAAGGCAGCCCAGGTGGTCACTGTCCTTGACAGGCTTTGAGCTTCCTTCACCTCTTTCTCGGGTTTCCAAGCTACCACACTAGGGACTCCCTTAGGTTAGTGACTAGTTTGCAGAAGCCAAAAACTGGAAGGGAGGCAGGACTTGGGGCATCTGTGACCTCTGTGGAGATTTGTGGTCTCAGATGCTGTAATTGAGATTAACTGGGGTGTGTGATTTTGGGGGAAGGGAGGATGGAAAAAACACATTGAGCAATTCAAGGCTCCATGCTGCCCACAGCAATCTGTTGGACTAAGAGGGGAAGCTCTGGTTTCTAGGCTGATGTGGAGAGTGGGGCAAAGGCCCCTAACACTCCAGCTGTCTGAGAACCTTGGCCTAGAAGGCAGATACCACTGTGTGCTCACGTGCTGACCTCCTGGCTTGGCCGACTGCTGAGTGGGTGTTTCCATCCCCCTGGACTGCTGCTGGCTGACAACAGTGATAAGCACTGGGCTGGAGGCAAATCTGTATGCAACCACTGGGTAAGGGTAAGTGACCCTGACGTCAAGATGGGGGAGAAATGGTTTTCTAAGTTCTAGGGACTGCCCAGGAAAAGCCCACCACATTGTACTCCCATGGCCAGGGAGTTCCCATAGGGGGACATACATGAAATCAGTGGTTCATTGTTTCTTTTAGGAACAAAACTGTGCCTACCACAAAGCCAGCCTCCCACAGATCACTGTCATTGCACTGGCACTGTGACAAAGGCACCAGTGCCAGGCTGCCAGCTGGGAGCACTGATTATGGGAGATGGAAAAAGAATGCTTCTGTCCCTGGCACGTATGTCCATGGCACCCAAAGAATGGATGTTTATGCGTAAGATAATGGCTTGTTTTTGCCTAAATGCTTCCATCTCTTATTTTGCCCTACAATCATTTTAAGTAGTATGGAGACAAAGAATTTGTTCATTTATATAGGAATAAAGAGTGTGCAGAGAGGTTCAGAATCGGCTTGTCAGAGGAAGTTATCTGTACCGCTAGAGCTCTTTTTCCCAAGAGCAAACTGTAGATTATTTGCTTGAAATTAATAATGGTTCATCAGCCATTCATTACACATGTAATTAGCCTGGGTAAAAACAGATGCCATTTCAACGTCCTTGACATCAATTTTTTCCACTCCAAGTTATCACCCCCACACACTCTTCTGTTTTCCCTACTGAAGTCTGATAAACCCCCAAGTCCAATTGGGAACAGTGGTTGTATCCTCTGTGGGCCTGACTGCATATAGGCAACACTTGAGTGTCTCATCCATGGAGGCAAAGGTAATTTTTTTAACTACAGCTTTGGAATGTGGTTGCCCTTATCCCATGTTCTAAACTCCCTTTGCGGGTAGAATCACACTAGATAACAGCACAAATGAGAACAGTGAAGAGCCACCACCTGGCAGGCATATTGGAACGAGAGCCGAATTTCATGCTTCTGCTAATGGGAATCAATCATGAGGAAAATCTTCCCAACTCTGTCAACGAGGGGTTGGCTTATGAGGATGGCGGCACAGTACTTCCATGCCGGCCTTAAGGACGGTAACCTTACTCAGGGTGGAGAAGGTGGCAGGTACGAAGAACACAAATGTCTTCAACCCAGACCCGTATGCAGATAGGAGCCCTGAGAACTCCTCTAGAACCAGAGGCTCCAGTTCGTCAAGCCTAAGGGATCACGGCACCCAAGGACACTGCACACAAGGCAGCAGGTGCCCTGGGGGGCTCAGAAGGACAAGGGAGAAGATGGCAGTGCCATTGTCTTGTTAGAACCTTCCTTCACAGGAATTGAGGACAGGACTCTAAGATCCAGGGGCGAATAATCCCAATTGCAACCTGCACCTGGCCTGCCTGGACCACTGGGGCTGACAGAACAAGCTCTAAGGTGAGAACCTGAGGCCCACAAGGTAGAAACCTTGTTTTCCACCATATCCCCAGTGCCTAGAACCACAGCTGGCACACAGCAGGTGCTCAATAAATACCTGTCAAATAAAATGAGCAAACACCATGAGCATGGCTAATGGTATTGGACGAAGAAGCTCAGGGAAGAGCTCTCCCTCAGTAGGTAGGGGAATCCATCCTTCAGAAGATTCTTTTATTAAAACTGGGTGACACTGGTAAGGGGACAGTACAAAAAAAATTTTGGTCCATGAAAAAAAACATAATAATTCAGTTAATAAAAACAGTTATCTTCAACAGGGGCACTGTGTAGGAGTGCTGAGCTTCCTTCGCGTGGTTCCAGCCCCAAGGACAGAGGTCGTTCGGTGTCACTGTGGGGAGAACCTTTCAAGGGAGAGGTGGGATAATGACAGGAAGGGGAAGACAGGGAGACAATTCTGCTGTCCCCGGCATGGAACAGGCAGGGACATGGGGCTGGGGGATGTGCTCGCAGGAGCCTGAGGAGGGGGTGGGGAAGCAGGGGCTTTGTCAGTTCTGTGGGTTTAGAGCCCATGCTGAACGGAAATCCCCCTCTGTGCCCAGCTGTCTCCCACCCTGCTGTGTTGAGTCTGCGAGCCCGGGATACGCCAACTCGGGGGTGATACAACCTGGAAAAAGACTTTGAGGCTCTCCTGGAAAGATGCAAAACCATCTCGGTTCCAAGGGGCCAAGATCACAAGGTCCTGCTGCTACCCTGAGGGGTCTGAAGCTTTGAGGGCAGGGGCTGGGGAGCCACAAACCCAACTCAGAGCTATTCTCCAGCCCTAGGCGCTTTCACTCCTCAGCGCCCTGGAAGTCACCAGTGGGTGCCAACCGGGCAGACAAGGGACAGGAAGACAGGGATGGCCCAGGGCTCTTACCCGTTTGATTTTAGGCCTGTTTCTCCATGAAAGGATGGGGGGGACAGGGCGGAGTGAATGAGTAAGTCACACCTCCAGGCAACAGCAGGAAGGAACAGCCTCTGCTGGCAATAGCAGTACCCTAGGTGAGACCCCTGGGGCTCTGACAGGGAAAGGCAAGACTCCCCCACCCAAATGCCCTGGATTAGGGCAGAAAGGAGGGAATCCTAAAAACAGCAGCTACAGGGAGTGTGCTGGGAGGGGGCAATAGTAAAAGAACAAACTCCAATACTGACGTGGACCCCCTATGAGGGAGTAAGAGAAGCACTGAGACGGCAGCCCAACCCAGAGGGCCACGGACTGACCTGGAGCTCAGTGGAGCCCAAGAGCCAGGGTTCCTTTAGTGCTAGAGGGCAACAAGTGAAGGGAGAGTTTGCTCCAAACCTGTGGACGGAAGGAAGGAAACTGGATTCTTTTATCAGGAGAGCCAAGATCAACTAGCTTATAGAGTGCCCCCAGGCCTGAGTCTCAGAGAAGGGGCTAAAGCTCCCAACTCCTGGGTCTCTGAAGGGCAGGATCAGTGTAGCCGGTCCCCTTGAAGACCACTTGGCCTTAGGCCCAATCCATTCAATGCACTGATTACCACTACAGGTTCTCACTCTAATACTATCTAGAGGTCCTATGCAGACCAGGGGAAGGTAGAGGCACATGGGAACTTTGTGGGGCAAAGGGAAGCTAGGGGTAGGAAGGGATGGGGTGGGGGAAGAGAGTAACAGGTGTCATGTGAGACCCTCTTCACTCTGGTGTTGTCCTAGAACCAACAGCATCCCCTGGAAGGCCCCAAGCAAGACCAAGGCAGGTGCTATGAGGCAGGCAGCACAGGGCCCAAATAGAGAAATCGGTGCAGCCAAATCAGGCCTGTGGGAGAGGCCCTATGTATTTCGGATTCCCAGGGCTTGCTCTAATTCTTGTCGTCTCTGCTGCACCTAAGGAGAAAATAGTGGAGGGAGTGGAAGATGAAACAAACCAGAAGTTGGTACCTAATACCACTGACCCCCATCAGGGTGCAGACCCCTCGCCTTCTGTCAGTTTCTCCAGTGCACCCCAGGTGCCTACCTTGGAGTAGAAGTAACGGCACACGGCCTCCTGCGCCCAAGGCTGGAAGTAGAACTCAGCTCGGCGCTCTTCCTCTGGGTTACCCACAACATCAGTCATGGTCTGCAGGAGATGGGAGGGAGAAGAGAGGACAACAAACTCGTTTCCTTCCTTGTCATCTAGTATGGATTGAATTGTATCCCCCCAAAAAGATGTTCAAATCCTAACCCCCTAGTACCTGTGAATGTGACATTATTTGCAAATAGGGTCTCTGTAGATGATCAAGTTAAGATGAGGTCATGAGGGTGGGCCTAATCCAGTATGACTGGTGTCCTTATAAAGGGAGGAAACTTGACACAGAGACAGGCATGCATAGAGGGAAGACGATGTGAAGACACATGGAGAGCACCATCTGCAAACTAAGGAATGCCTGAGGCTACCACAAGCTAGGAGAGAGGCCTGGAATAGATGCTCCCTTCCAGCCCTCAGAAGGAACAAAACCCTGCTGACACCTTGATTTCAGA